TGATGCCCTCGCTCTGCTCGTTTAAAATATCTGCAGGGGTTCTTGAAACGTGCAAAATAAATGATGTCTTTTATCTTAGCATTGTGTTTGTAATTTATTGGTAACAGTTGCATTGCTTTTTTTTCTCTGTAGGGGTTTGTCTCTTCTCTATTAGGGACAGTCTTCCTGCTGAACTACCCTTCAACTTATTTACCAAGCAATACAATATAGAAATACAATGAAAAATTAAAAGCGAGTGTTGAAACCAATGTTTAGATAGCATTCATAAACATGCTTTTGCACTGATATGATCAGCATATTATTACTGATCATATCCTGAAAATCCTGTCTTCTTTTGAATAATTTTGTGACCTACAGCTATATCCCATAAATGTATTCTGTTCGTGCAAACTATTGCAAAACCTTTGGAAAGAAAATTTAGACTTCTCAAAAAAAAGATACACTTTTGTAGAAGTACTGTTACATCCTGGAGCATTTTATGCTAGTGTTGGGAGATTACAACATCAACTGAAAACTAATGACAAAGCAAACACCTCACCAGGTTAGGATGCCTCATTCAACTGGCTCCTCTCGACGTGAAAGAGCAGTGGCTCTACTCTGAGTCCCTCCTGGATATCTGAGCTTCTCACCCTATCTCTGAGGGAGAGCAAGACCCGTACAGCAGCTACTTCACTGTAGACGCTGCACTGACCCGTCTGTCGATCTCCTGCTCCATTGTTCCGTCATTCATGAAAATGATCCCAAGATACTTAAACTCCTCCATGTGGGGCAGGACATTCTCCCTGACCCAGATTAGGGACTCTATTCTTTTCCAGCTCATTTATTGATGCATTAATTTGTATAGCTATTATATATTTTTTTTTATTTATTGAGATGATAAAAAACGTTGAACACGTTGATCAACAGGTTTAGCATGTCATTCAACACACTCTCTCTCTCTTGGATTTCTCATCCAGGGTTTCAGATACACACGGAGACACACACACAAATGATACACATGCACAATAAAGTTAGTAATGTTAGCTAGTTGGTTAGATAAGTAGTGTTGGATAACTTCAAAGAAGGCTAATAGGTTGATTTGTGACTATAACACAGTACTGATGATTTACACACATACACACATTTGTGAGGTAAAAAATAAATATAGTATTTATACGTAGGAGTTCTTGCTTTGTAAAATATTATTACTCTGACATCCAGGACTGAGTGTGTGTGGTTCAGAAAAAATGTTTTCTTGACAGTCAAAGTTGGTAAGAAACAAAGATTCCCATTAAATTCCATAGGAAATGAATACGGGTCATTTTTGCCTCACTCACAGAGAAAGGGGTAGTAATGCAAAACATGCTACTTCTGAAAATGTATAAAGAGTAAATTAAAAATTTGAATTGCATGATATCAGTATCATATTTTTTGAGGAACACCTGTATTCTTAAGTGATGAAAACTTTTCATTACAAAGATATAACAAAAAAGATGACCTCACAGGGTCAACACTTACACATCAGAGGGTTAATGGCAGTGGTCAGTATTTATTGGCGAAGATGTTACCACCAAATTTGGTTTTACGTCCTTGAAAAGTGCGACTCTGGTGGGACTCGAACCCACAACCTTTGAATCTCTTCCCTAGAGTCGTGCTAGAAGTCCAATGCGCTATCCATTGCGCCACAGAGCCAGTTGGAGGAAGCGTGTCAGATCTCCCACGTGATCGCTCACATCTCAGTTTTGACACTGCTATTTTCATGGCTATATCTGACAAGAATCAAATCTTACGATTACTATTTTGAAGGGTTAGTTTTTCTACGTATATACTTTTATACATAAATATTTTTTTATAAAGATATATAATTAAATAAATAAGTGCTTCCGGTGTTCACAGGAAGTGTTCGCAGTTAGCAACAGTTAGCTGTATTATCCTTGTATGTGAGAACGTAAGCTAGAACGCAACAATGTCAGCGCAAACAATTACTGTGACTGTCGCACACGGTAAAACTCTTCTACATCATAACGTTAAGTTTGTCATTAAATATTTTTTTGTTTGTTTTTTTAGTGTAGTTAGGTGCCAGGTAATGCTAAGCTGATGTATCTCATTTCAAATCATATTTGAATGGGGCTGTCACATTTTAAACATTTAAAATAAAAGAGGACAGATCCAGTAAATATGTCAGTTTCAACCAAAGTAAGTACAGCCAGGGGTAGATTGAAATCGGTGTCTTCGTTATTTTAACAGTTGTGTATGTTTTAAACAACTCAATATTAATGTGACGTGTTTTGAATACATTTAGTCACGTTATGATGTACACAACAATCTTAATAGAGCAGTATTTTCCGCTAAATTTCTAACAGCACTACTATTTTAAAGGTAAAAGGGATAACACCAGGCAACTTCGAAAGATTTGAGTCTCTTTCCTCGTGTTTGCTGTAATTTATCCATCTTCCTCAGGCCAATGAAGGAATAGCTTATCCTCATTGTTTAGCAAGACTTAAAATAAAAATAACACTTGAAAGTAATATTTTTAAATAGTAACTTTTTGTACTATGTTATTCATTTGTACTTACTAAAAATTTCTCTTGAATCAAAAATAATAAAAAGCAAAACAAAGTAATTTATTATTATTGACAATAATTTCCAATTCAAAATCTCAACTTACTGATGAAACATTGATCACACTTTTAGATAGTGGTGCTAATATTTTCTTAAATTCAGTTTTATTTTCCTTTTCAGGATCAACTAAACACAGCATCACGCTAACAGGTCAAGAGGATGGAACGGGACCCACTGTTAAAGACTTGTCAGATGCTCTCAATGAAGCTACCGGTGTCCCATCAGCCTCACAGAAACTCATTTTTAAAGGTAAGCTGTTATTGAACCCAGAAGTGAACTTGAATTTTCTGTTTGATCTCTTAACACCAAATTTTGCAGGAAAGTCTCTGAAGGACATGGAAGCGAGTCTCTCCAGCTGTGGAGTAAAAGAGGGCTGCAAACTCATGATGATTGGAAAGCGGGTGAGGACTTTACGTGCACCATGTGTGGTGTCTGATGCTGTGTAAATAAGGAGATACTCACTGTAATCTGCAAACAGAACAGCCCAGAGGAAGAGGCTGAACTAAAGAAGCTGAAAGAAATTGAAAAGTCTGTGGAGCAGACAGCTAAAAAACTGGACATGGTAGATGGGGAATTAACTGGATTAAAGAATGTAAGCAGTCAGTTATGGCATGGTAACTATTGTTTACTAGTCATTCTTGTCAATAACATGTCTTTCAGTCTATTGTCAACATCAATATTTCTTTGCTCTTTCTTTCTTTAGGGCTTCCTCGCAAAAGACCTCCAGGCAGAAGCGCTCAGTAAACTAGATCACAGAGTAAAAATAGCAGCTGAGCAGTTCATGAAAATCCTGGAGCAGATAGATGCCCTGGTAATCTGTCCTGCTATTTTGTATTTATGTGGTGTTTTTTTTATTATGATTATTATTGTGGCTTGTATGACCTAACATTACCATCTTCCCTTTTAAGGCCATCCCAGAAAATTTTACCGACTGCAGAACAAAGAAGAAGGGTCTTGTGAAAACAGTGCAGGTTAGCCTATATGTGATTTTGTTTTTTTCCTAAAAGGCACATTCATGTTTTATTGAAAACCGTCTTGATAAAAAGAATAACTACAATCATTGTATTTTTCTAGGATTTTCTGGCTCAGTGTGACAGGATCGAGGCTTGTATATCAGACCACCTATCAAAGATCCAGTCTAAAAACCTGGCTCTGGCAGAGTAATCAACTCTCCTATGTCATGTGCTTTAAGTTGCTCTGTGAGCAATGCAAAGGTCTCAGAGTGCTTCAAGTAAGAAGCAGATCCTATGTTATTTATTGTGATGAGGGTGCTGTATGGGACAAACAACCATTTGAAAACATGGGCTGTTGGTTATGAACATCAGTGTCTGAATACAGACTGGACCTCTGCAGTGTGTGTACTTTCTACCATAACACTCCAGTCTTGTTCAAGATGGAGGTCGATTCTACAGGGACTTGCACCCATTCTGTAACAGCAAAGCCATTTGTGGTTCATATCCATTTTTCAGGCATTAGATGTGTACTTGAGATCAAGGCCACATTTATGAAATCAAGAGGGCAAAAAGAAATCTTGAGCTCTAATGTTTTTCAGAATCAACTTTCCAAAGTTCTCAGTCTTGTTTCGTCAAATTTTAAGAATTCTTCATATAAGTTTTAGCAGTTGAATATAAAATATTTTCTATTTTGTCTTTTTAAACCATTGATCCAGACTTGAAAGATACCAAAATTAATGTGTCAACTTTTTCAGATTGCTTAGGGACGTAATCATCACAGTAGGAAACGTTAAGAACACTGAACCTGGATGCCGCTGTCATTAATGTAATTATATTGAATAGTGTTGAAGTTGGGTCCTTACATGTTAAAAACTCCGATCATCACTTAAATGAGATGTGTCGTCATTGGACACAAGAACAGACAAATAAAGGCAAATGATCCCAGATCTTATCATGACTGGTACTTTTAAAGTTAGGGGAATTTCCCCAGAAACCTTCCTAAATCTGCAGGTTAGTCAGGTTCATTCAGTCATATATAAAGTAATCCCTGTATGCATGAAAGTGTATGTTTTTTGTTGTTGTACAAAAAGGAGAATACTTAAATTTGGAATTTTTAAAGCAATTTTTACCATATTTTCAGAACTTTATTGAAATATACAAAAAAACTATTTGGGATTTTGACTGTAGATTTTAAACACATAAGCCTGCTGCTTACTGCATCAAAAAGGAAAACATTGAAACTACAACCACTGTCAACAACACTGCACGCTATGGAAAGGATGAGTTCTTCATTTCTATATGCATTGTTATTCCACATAAAGAAAGCCTGAGTCACCTGCAGTTTTGGTTAAATTTATTGTCTTTTTTTGTAGAACGGAAAGACGAGTCATAAGCATTAGCCTTTGTTTTGAAATAAAATGTTTTGAAAAATGATCAGATTCCATCACTGGTCTCAGAATACAATTTAATGTCAAAACATTCCTACAAAAACGCAAGTTCTTTTCTCTTAAGTAAACACCTCGTGTCAGTTTATTTCCAGCTTTCTCCACGAGGGTCTTTTCCCACATAATTGGACTCTGAAATGTTGTCAAAGATGTGCAAAATGAGCTCTGAAATAAAGATTAGAAAGGGACCCAAAGGTCCAGGAAGCAGCTTAAACAAATGACCTTCAACAGACTATACCACAGAGCTTTTTTGTGAGCCAAACTAAGGATATAGCTGATCTAAATAAAATATTAACCCGTTTCAAGATGGAAATAAGAGTACAGAATGAACCTCAACAGGCACATCCCCCATCACTAATCGTCCTTGTCCTTGGCGCCATGTTTTAAAATACGTGTGAAAGCTACATAGTTGAAGTTGCCCTTCTTGTCAATCGGCGCCTCGCGGAACAGCTCGTCCACTTCTTCGTCGGTGAACCTGTCGCCCATGGTGGTGAGCAGCTCCCGCAGGTGCTCCTCCTGAATCACACCTGAGAGGAGAAAACAGGTTGAAATGTTACTGATTTCCTTACCTGGTCGACAGGGAAGTGAAAATGCGGTTCGGTGAAAGTTCAACATACCTGTGCCCTCTTCATCGAAGCAGGCAAACGCATTGCGGATCACGTCCTCCGGATCAGTACCGTTCAGCTTCTCTCCAAACATGGTCAGAAACATGGTGAAGTTAATTGGGCCGGGGGCTTCATTCATCATGGCCTCCAGGTACTCGTCAGTAGGATTTTTACCTGGCAAATGTTAAAACAAAAGGTTAATGTTGCTCTGGTGCAATCCCATATTTCAACTTTAATGGCTTTACAAAATGAAGTAGTACTTTGTTTTTAAATATTTTTTTTTTTAAATTCTCATGTTGGAAAATGCCTTTATCAAGAGTTTTATTGTTGATCAACTGAACATGAATATCTGTGATCACAAATATCACCTAATGAGGCGAGCATATCATGGAGATCTTCTTTGTCAATAAATCCGTCTCTGTTTTGGTCGATCATGTTAAAAGCCTCTTTGAACTCCTGGATCTGAGACTGATCGAACATGGCAAACACATTGGAGGTGGCCCGCTGGGGACGCTTCTTGGTGTTCTTCCCCTTGGCCCTTTTACTCGACATGTTGCCGTCTGGTGGCTCCCCCTCTACCTGTAATTGAAAACCTGTAATTGAAGCTGTCAGTCTGGGCTGGGCAACAATATGAAATCATTTAGCTCAATTATCTACCTCTTGATGCAGATCGATGACAAATGCTATGAGATTTTATTATTTATAAAGTAAGAAGTCACAGAAAGTTTTATTTTGTAAAAATACCTTTTACAGAGCTGACAAGCTGGACTTTACAATAACTGCAAGAATCCACACACTTTCCAGAATTCTTAGAATTGATCTTTTTCAAAGTATAATGTAAAGGTTCGAGATGGATGGAAGGACATACAAAAGCAAATTGACAAGATGGGTAAACAGAAAAACAACAGACAGAAGAAAGAGAAAACCAAAAGAAGTAGATTGATGGATGGGGGATGGACAGATGGATGGAAGCTGGGAGAATGATGGTCAGATCTGGAAAACTACAGACAGTTGGACAAGAAAAAAGTTTGGAAACTTTTCATACTCTCTTTATTTTATACAAATCTCGCTGTAAGCATGTAGAGGGTGTTATTTACTATACTGGTACAATTTTCCATCAGCATTATGAGACCCTACAGCCTGTTTCATTTGATTTCAGTGAATCTCTCACTGAAGACTGAACTTGGTGGCAATTGTTGAACCGCGTTCAAAGGACGTAGGAAATTTAACAATCGATATGAAATACATAAATTCCTATCTTGCAGAACCTCTTTATGAACACATTGAAATATAAATATATTTGTAAAAACGTTTCTTATTTTTTTCAGATGTAATATAATCATATTTATGCAAGTTATTGGTGTTGTTATTGAAGATCATCAGAACATATTATGCTAGCGCTACTGTGCCAAACGTAAATATATTAAATAAAACCAAGTCTTTAATTCTGTGGTTACATGCACTGACACTTCTCCTCTGCAATAATCCATGTACAACCCAGTATGCTTTCCAATATATAACATAATTTAATCAAAACATGTTATTAGCCATCTCGTCTGACCTACACAACAAGTTAGCTTCAGAATAGCAGCGATAACAAATTCAAAGAGAAAATATATTGCTTGTTCTCAAGTCCAATATGTTTCGTGGGCGTTCTTTGGACGGAAAATGATTGACCCACCTTAGAAGAAATGTAAAATGTGTAGAAAAATAGCTGTACACAAAGCTATCAGCACATCCCACAGTCAGAGCAGAGCAGAGCTGGAAAGAACCAACTGTCTGGAATGTTCCATTCATTCCGAATCGTCCCTGTTACTTTTGGTTAACATTAGGGGGGAAAAAATTAACAAATAAATGATTATATATAGGGATAGAAGGGAATGCATTTTCTGAAGTTAACATAGAGCCATGATAAAGTGTTTTGTCATTTTCCCTAAACCTATTTTTTAGCATTACTATTTTAGACCACTAGGTGGCAGCAGTGCTATGTGTTTTAGTAAACTTGATTTAAGCCAGTGCTTCTCAATTATTTTCCGTTACGCCCCCCCTAGCAAGAAGAAAACTATTTGCGCCCCCCCATTTCCCACCGTGACTATCCATCTCTGCATAACATTTTTTCGCTGAAAAAACTTTAGCGGCTTATCGGCGTGATTGGGATGTAACGTATTTAAGTGACGCGCTAATTTATTTGGCTTCATGCTGTCCGCTGCGAGCATTTTTAGACACAGCAAACACACCGGTCTTTCCTCTTCTCCAACTGTAGTCACAGTGAAGCCAAGCGCTAAATACGCTTCCTCGTATTTCCTCTTCTTAGCTTCCGGTTGACTTTCTGTTGTCTCATTATCTTTGTCTCTCTCCGCGTTTCTTTTCATCCCTGTGAAAAACTTTTTCATGTTGGGGGTTGTTGAATAACGGAGGCCATAGACAGAACGCAGTCGGAGCTTTTTGTTGACTTAACACTGCTAACCAAGGCAAACCTGTTGTCTTGTAAGTCGTAAAATGTTGCACTGTCGCAAACGTGACAGAAGTAACAATGAGAGCGCCACTGCCGCCTACTGTGCGCAATTACACTTTATACTAGTACGGCCAATAAAAAAAGCCTGTTCCCAGGATCACACGCGCCCCCCCAGGTATCGCACCGCGCCCCCCAAAGGGGGCCCGCCCCACTATTTGAGAAGCACTGATTTAAGCAGTCATACTTTTTAGACTTCTTCACACATCCGGGTGAAAGTAGAAATATACGTTTTTGTGATCCAAACGTATGATGCAACATAACTTAATGTTAATTACTAACAGTGAGGGTAATGAACCTCGTCATAAATTAGCTCAGTGAACAAATGGTTTTGTGTCTATCATTGTTATGTGATTGTAAAGTTTCACATGATTGTGCTTCAGGCACAGCGCTGGAGGTGTTTAAAACATGCCTGAAGTGCAGTGGAACAGCTGAGGGGCAGGCACTGAGGCTCCTGTGGCTCTTCTCATGGTCTAAATTTAAAGCTGCCCAAACCTTAAAAGGTCCTGACGGTGTCTTGCGCTTTCTGCCGAGTGGCAGCCTTATTTTTGCTCAGTGGACTGCTATCCTGTCCACTGACCCTCACCCTACTGCTTTTGCTGGATCTGAGCTTGCTTATTTGGAATAAACACATTTCCTTCTTGTTGTGGACTGGTCAATTTCTGTTGGTGGTAAGTAAAGGCTTATATCTTCCTTTTAAGTTCCATCAACTTCATTAAATTATGGTTTGTCTTGTTTGCGTCTGTAAATTTCCAACACTTGCAATAGGCCTTGTTTTTGTGTCATGCGTTTTCCATTTTCTATTAATAATAGGTTAATTGATCTTTGAGAACATCTTAATTGATTTTTCTAAATTATGCCCCTCTCTAACAAAGTCTTGTTCATTTTAGAATCATATTCTGAATTGCATGTCTTTGATTCACAATAACATAATTATAACATGGCCTAGGCTGCTGATTCTGCTTATAGTTCAGTTTAAACAGGTATCACCTTGAACAAACTCTATATGCATTTTTTTTCAATCCGTCGAGCCACCCATTTGTCACTTAGTAGTTACAAACCAGTTATTGTGACCAGAAAGGGATTATGATACAAAGGAGCCTGTGATCATTTGTCTCCAATTTGTTCTGTCTTATCCTGAAACTCTGCACTCAGAAACACCATACAAAATAGTTTCCTCTTGTGGTATTTTTCTGTTTTTTTGACATTGTTGTAGCTCGCTTTATGTTTGTGTGTCTCATACTGTGCGTAATGTTATGCTGTTATATTTATGGCAGCTTGTCCTAACAGATTTGAATCATTCTTCACACTTTTTATGGCATTACGCCTAAGTTTGAGCATTTTTCTCAGAATGTCTGCATATTATCTTTCTTACTTTCTTTTTTTTTAGCTTTTCTTTTTTGATAGTTTACTCAGTAAGAACGACCTCTAGCTAGACCGGTGGGTACCCCTACCCACTAAATGACATATGGGCTTGAACTATGAAAAAACTATTTGGTAATCTGTCCATGATTTCATTATGCACTTCTTTTCTGTAATAATAAGCTAATAAGAAGACCTCTTTGTAGAAATGTACACATTGCATTAAAGATAATAACTGAATAACCATAGTAGAGAAAAATATCTCAATATTTTTGTTATTTATCTTCCTCTTCTGGAGGTTTTCTGAATTAAACTACCACAAAATAAAAATAGTGAATGTTGAAAACTTCTGCTGCAGTTCATTGATAACCTGCTGCTTCATTTAACACAGTAGAGGTTGATCCTGGGCAGAGCTAACCCTTCAGCTGTTAAAACATAACCATTCATAACCCTGACTTGGAAAAAGAAAACAACATATTTTTATCAGTCACTAATTCCCTAAACCATACTTCCTAATTCCTCACGATCATGCTCTGCTTTCCCCTCACCTCCAGCTCAGAAATCAATCTATCGTAATAACAGTGAGATTGATTTACAGAGCAGGTAAACTAGAGGGCAGCCATTGTAAGTTGGCGGAGCGGCCTGTCGGGATGTCAGGATCAGTGCAAGTGACTCAGAAGCAGCAGCAGAAGCTGCAGCTGCATCAACAGCTGGAGGAGAAGCAGCACTATGAGAGCAGCTATTACCTGAGCACCAGGTCGTCTGTTAGCAAGCAGGCCTTCTCAACTCACAAGACCAGCAGCCATCGGTAAGAGGCTCAAAATTATAAAGTCTCTAAATAACAGCAAGAAAGTAGCTACAGCAAACTTCTTTGGATGTGTGCTGCTATTCACCTCTACTCAAGGTGCCTAAAATGTATCTTTGCATTTTCACTTGGAGTCTGGTGGTATGATTAAGTTAATTTTTTCTAACTCAGAGTTCGTTCTTTTTTTTTTTTTTTAAACAGTGTTTTTCTCCTTAAAACCAAGTCAGAATATTATTTTAGGTTTAAGCAAATACTCTTTTTTTCAGCAAGATTCACTATTTGAACATTTACAATCCAAATTTACGACAATGAATTGTTGAGTTGTTTTTCCCTTTTCATATCTTAAATCTGGTTGTTCATTCTTTTAGTTGTGCTTATTGTAATTCTATTACCGACATAATTTTGAAACTCTTGTCTTAACAAAAGTTATGTTCATGTTGTTTACTAAACCTGATGGCCTAAATTAGATTAGTTTACTGTGTTGTAATTAAGTCTCTAATCAGATTAAAATCCATCTTTCGGTGATTTTTAAAACATGTCTTTGTCTTTTGAAGAAAAGTGTCTCCACACTGAATCTTGCAGTTGCTGTAACAACAGTTGTGACATTAATTTGTTACCTATTATTTCTAGTTTTAGACATCTCCATATGTATATGTATTAAAATCTATATTTTAAACTAATTTACATGTTTTGTTGCTGTATTTTTACAGTGAATAGAGGAGGGCAATATGAAAAAGTGTTTGCTGAGACTATGCAATTATACTAAACTGCATTATAATAAAATGAAACAACTCTTCTCTTCACAGAAAAGGCTTAAATAAAAGTATTGTATATTTACATTGCATTTCCATTTACAACTTTACATTATGGACTGAAGGTTTTGAGATGTCAGCTTGGAAAGGCTCAACACACCAAACAGACAGATAATCACTGTTGCTATCAGTATTGCTGTTCTCAGATATGGTGGAAACATTACCTTAATCTTTCAGGCAACATCATAATTGTTTTAATTCTAGGCTTTTTAAGACGTTAAGGCTTCATTGTGCAAATTGCCAAACCACATTACTTGAGATCGGTACATCCATCCAGCCATCCATCCATTTTCTTACACCCTTATCCCTAGTGGGGTCAGGAGGGCTGCTGGTGCCTATCTCCAGCGAGACATTTCAGGCGAGAAATGGACAAGTTGCAGGAGATTGGAATATTGGTACATATAATGACAACATTCTGCCACCAGCACTCACCTAGTAACCCAGGGGAAGATGTTTTTTTTGTTGTCTGTTTTAAGCTTCGTGGGGCTCATGTACATGTCGGACATGTTGCTTTCTAAATGAGGTCAGGGAAAGAATTTCAGCAGTGGCCGAGAGCTGCCAGCTATATTCATAGACAGCTGAGTTATTTCTGACATGAAGAAGCGTTGCCTTCAGGCCAACTGTAAATACACTGTATAAAAGACTGGACATTTTTCCAAACCCCCATTAAAGGTTAGCTCTGTTGTAAATAATACCAACACTGGCTGTATGTGCACTTATGCTTCTCGAACTACATTCTTTAGGGTGAAAATATTTCTCCCTATAGAATTAATGTGTCTGAGTGGAACATAATTTCTTCTTAGGCTTTAAGAACTGAAACTCTCATTTAAAGCTAAAAACTTTTTATGCCCTAACTGCCCATTCAGTGCACATGGTGAGTCAGCAGCGGAAATAACTTCTTAAGGCACTCACTTCAGATGTTTTCCTGCAACTTGCATCGAGCATACTGGGTGACCATGATCCTGTCAGTCTGAAAAAGATATCCAACTCTACATTGAGCCATCCAGAGAGAGGAAGGCATATTTTAAGTGAAAGCAAAGCTTTAAAGTGGACCTTTACACCACGCTTCATATCCGCTAGCTTTTGTTCCATTTATATACCCTGCGAACAAAAAGAAAGTCTGAGAGGTAAATGAGTCAGAGAGTAATATCGAGTCAGAGTATGGAGGGTGGAGTGAATGCAACATCTTTTCTGAGTAGGACTGGAGAATTGGTTTTAGATGGCTTTATGTAACAAACATGTTTATTTAAGGAGGTATACATAAGACCAATGAGCAAGTGGAGTTATTTCAGAAATGCACTGCAGCTTTTCTTCCTTTTTTTTTTTTTTTTACTTTTTAATGATTGTGTTTATTTTTACCAACAAATGTGTCAGCTGGGAGTTTAAAAAGTGAAAATTACATAACAGCCAGTGGTGGTTCTTCCACAAATGTTGCCCTGGGCAGGTCGCTCCTTTAGCCTCCTCCAAACACAACCATAATTTATACCTGACAATTCAGTATTGTCTTTTGTAAAGAGATAAGAATATATTTTAGTATTTGTAGTGAAAAATAATATTTCTCATTTTGATTCTTTTTTTTTATTATTTGTCTGCGACTGTTGCATGCTTTACTTCTGTCTAATGGTGAATAATTTATATTTTCCAAACAGCTTAGCTTGGGGATTTAGCTAAATAAATTGTATTAGGAGAATTTCTTCAAAGATTTTTTTTTTACAAACCTTTCCTTCCTGTGTGTTCACAACCAGTGTGGGACAGACACAAAATGCACAACTTTAGATCTTGGTCAGTTCAGTCATAAAAAACACAACAGCAAGCTTTGAATTCAAAGAAAATGTCTTGTCCTTTACTTGAAGTCAGACTTCTTCACCTTTATAGAGCAGTATATTGACAAACTGTTTTTAATTTGGATGTTTTCTCCTGCCTCTAAGCCTGAAGACCTCTGTGAAGACAGACAAGGGGCAGCAGGTGGTTAAACTGAGCCCGCTACC